CAGGAACTCATTAGCATAATAGGCCACACCCAGCAGCAGAAACTCATTAGCATATTAGGCCACACCCTGGACAGCACAACTCATTAGCATATTAGGCCACACCCACCTTTTGCTTCTTATTCTGTTTACCTTGTTTGTAGTCAAAACCCAGGGCTTTTTTTGAAGCAGGAACTCCTTTGCATGTTAGGCCACACACCCCTATTGTAGCCAATCCTAATGAGTTTCTGCTGTTGGGTGTGGCCTGTTATGCTAATGAGTTCCTGCTGGGTGTGGCCAGCTCGGGAGCCAGCCGGAACTCCGTTCCTGTGCGTTCCTGGCCAAAAATAGCCCTGAGTATACACACAGCCTGTAGCATTGGAGGGCCGCTTCCAGGCAACTGCATGCATGAGGGATCAGGTTTAGAGACAAGCAGATGAGTGATGCAAGAAAGGATGGGGAGCACAGGATTGGGTACTTGTGTGGAGGGACAGAATGGCAGAGGTCTGTACATTCCAACTAAGGATACAGGACTCAGACAGACTCTGGAAGATGGTGAGGCTAGGTCTGGAATGAAAGGATTTCAAGGTCAAATTGACCGGCTTTAGCAAATCTAGTGTAAAACAGAAGGCAGCCTTTGAGGGAAGAGCCACTGTTTCCAATACCTACCTTATAGCCCAGAACAAGCCCGTTTCGGTCAGCTTCAGGGATGTCATTCCACCGTACTAGCATGGAGGTGGAGGTCGTAGCCAGGGCTGAGATATTGGTTGGTCCAGAGGAAGGCACTGTGTGCAAATAGAATGGGAGTCAGTGCTTCACCAAACAGTTCCTCTGAATTGGTTCTGTAACAGGTAACACTTTGGGCGGGGACCCACAGAAAAGCCCAGAGCTTTACATGCAAAGTTCCAGTCAGGTAGTGAGGGGCCTGCCTGACTGTCTAAAGATGAGGCTGGGTTGGGGAGGGTACCTGACTCCCGGGTTCGCCCCACCACGGTCTGACTCCATGGCCCAGGCCCAATGGCATTGAAGGCCTGCACCTGCACACGGTACTCAGTCCATTCTTCCAGGTCTTCAATGGTGAATTCACGCTCCATACGGTCATGGATAGTGTGGGCCAGTGTGCGGCCGCGCCCATCTAAGTGTGAGTAGCGCAGACGGTAGCCCACCGACTCGGGGCTGCCATTGTACTCTGTTTCTGGCAAGGGCTGCGGGAACAAAGGGGACATCATTGCCAGCCTTCAACCTCTTACTTTCAAGAATGCTCATGATTAAGTTGTCCTTCCTACCATACCTAATGTATGCCAAATCATGTAAAAGTTATGCACTCTCAAGGGGTTCCCAAGACCATGGAACCTGTGACATTCGAGAAAACAGTCAGAACTTTAGATTCTTTTCTTATTTTGGTAGGCTTCTTTATCCACGTTGACATGCCAGGTAAACAGTGCCAGTGCGGCTGATCTCAACTGTGATTAACCTCCACTGCTTCTTTATTATTTCATGGATCCCTCCACTCCCCCGAAACAACAGCAAGATCTATTTTTTCTATTGCTCCTGCTCACCATCCATCGGAGCCAAAGGCTGGTTTCACTGGCCGTGCGTAATGTAATATTGGCAGGAGATACATCAGGTGGAGCCTGCAAGGTCTGGATCCTGCGGGAAGGCAGACTAGGTGGGCTGGTTCCTACGATGTTCACTTGTCGCATGCGGAAGCTGGTAGGAGAAAACTGATTAGTGCTCAGAGGGACAGCAAAGTGACATAGGAAAAGGCCCCAGCCCCCTAGGCCTTAAAATTTCAAATGTATAGATAGGCCTTGAGCATCCTTCAAAATTTTGGCTGATCCCCAACATGATGGTAGAGAGAGCTACCTAGAGCACTGATGCATTTCCTTTCATATCCAAACAAGGATGGAATATAGACTAGGTACAACCTAGCTAGTTATTTTAAAGAGTGGACCCAGCTTACATAATTGTTATTATCTTGGGGGGGGGGGTCTCATTTCACCTTTTATTTGGGCTAGGTAAACAGAAAACAATGGAGATATTCAGATAATTCATTTTCAGTTTAATTGTAATCCAAAGTGTTTCATATGTACACCATATTCTGCAGATTCCGACTTCTCGTTTTGTGGATGTGGCACATTATAATAGTCTGTATGTATAATTGATGGTGGTGAAATTCTACACTTTCATGCAAGTGTTGCTTTATTAGGCCAGCCTTTCAGACCATTCTGCTCCCAGATCAACCTCCTTCCCACTTGCTATCTTCCTAGAGGAAAATCTTTCTTGCTGATAATGAGAGTCAATTTACAACACTAAAGCTTCATGACCACGGAGATGTATGTAAGAACCTGGGTGAGTGCATGCAAGCTCAGCCACAGTCACTTCAGTTTGGGTATTATCAGCATTCTTCCACTCTTCCATATTTGGGCAGCACCCACCTGTAGTATGTGTAGGGATTGAGGTTGGGCACCTCCATAGAGCGGGCATCAGGCTCATTAGACAGTTGGTGGATGAGGGTCCACTCCTCACTCTCACCAACTTGGCCAACCTGGAGGCAAGCAAGACATTTGAGCAGGGCTGAAGCAGCATTATTTATTGCTCATATGGTGGGCTCCTCCCTCTGACATTAAAGCAAAAACCATTACTTTAAAGTTAGGACTTGGTATTTGCTTACCTCACAATTTGAAAAATAGGACAATATTTGTCTTTTTTCAAATGCTAGAAATAAATAGTTGGGCAAAAATGGATTACAGAACTTTATAAGCATTTGTGAGAATTAACAACTGTTTTTATCATTATTGTTTATCGAATGTGTTGGTTACCTTTCAAAACAAAACACCCCTGTTTACACAAGGCAACTGTCAATAATTTAAAAATAACAAAATAAACAGAAGATTAACAATGCAATTCTAAATGGAGTTACATCCTTCCCTCAAGATAGGCTTTGTTTTCCTGTAGCTTCTGAGATTTCACCAGGTGTTGCTCATACACCTATCTTCACAACATGGGCTTGAAAAAAGAGAATTATGAATTCTGGACTACTATGAAAACCTTTGTTTGCATAGAACAATGGTGGTGGTGGTGGGGAAACACCTTGGCCTACGGCTCCTGTTCTTCATTAACTCTTTTCTCTATCCAACATAGACATGCCCTTCTCTTTTTCCTTGCTCTTTGTCACTCCAATCTTAAGAGGGGAAAAAATCTAATATTTCCAAAGCAAATAAATCAGGCAAAAAAAATTAGAAAGAACATTTTCCTCCCTCTCCCATAATAGTACAGCTCGGGGTGACCCAAAGGACTAGATGAGCAACAGACAAGCAAAAGAAAGAAATTCATACAATATTTAAGTAACTTAGAAATTTACTGGTACAAGATATGATTACCATTAACCCAGATATCTTTAAAAGGGGGCCTCACAGCTTCATGAATTGCCAACTACTATCAACCATGAAGGCTAAATAACTTCCGTATTCAGTTGGGGGTAGGGGGTGAACAGTGGGGAAAGGTCTTCTTGCTCTGTTTGTGGGCTTCCTGAAGGCATATACCTGGCCACTGTGGGGAACGGGATGCTGCACTGGCTGGACTTTTGGTCTGACCAAGCAGTGCTGTTATATCCTTAAGTGCATGAAAAAAATATTTGTGTAATTTCTTCTGAATGCAAAAATGTGGACTTCATGCCACAGCGTTTCAACAACTAATACAAAAAAGCTGTTTTAAGGACTACAAAGGAATGCATCAGCTGCCTGATGAGTCGGACCCATAGGTTACCTGAGCTTCCACTTGCCACCTGGAAATGGATGTCTTGCCGTCATAACCAGGGCGGAACTGAAGTGTAACTGAGCGGGGACCAATGTTGGAGATACCCAAGTTGGTAGGGGGGCCTGGGAGTTCTGTGGACAAAGAAAAAACAAGGATAGAACTTGGCTGCCTGCAGCCTAGGGATGAGACACACTGGACAGACAGACCACGCTTTCAGGGCGAGAGGGAAAAGCAGCTTGTCAAGGGCAATTCAGGGTAGAAAAGTAGACAGTAAGTATGGAAAGAGTTGAGCATCCCCACCCCTCACATTTCCCCCCACTTTTCCTCCAAGGAGCTCAAGTTGGCATACATTATTTTGTGCTTCTCCATTATACCCTTTTGACAACCCTGTAAAGTAGGGCAGGCTGACAGAGAGAGTGACTGGCCCAAGGCACCCCGTGTCATGGACCAGAGTACAGGCAACTCCTCATGAGGAAAAGTGGAAGAAGGCTCAGAGGAGGAGGCAGCTGGGCACCTAATGGTGGAAGGCAGTGGGGACACCTCCAGGAGCCTCCTTTGATGAGATAGGGTTGCCAGCCTCCAGGTGGTGGCTGGAGATCTCCAGCTATAACAAGTGATTTCCAGTTCACCTGACTGCTTTGGAAGGTGAACCCTATAGCATTATATTCCACTGAAGTCTCTCCCCTCCCCAAATCCCTCCTTGTCCAGGCTCCACCCCCCAAATCTCTGGGTATTTCCCAACTAGGGTTGCCAGGTCTGGATTGGAAAATACCTGGAGACTTTGGGGGTGGAGCCAGGAGAGGGCGGGGTTTGGGGAGGGGAGGGGCCTCAGCATAGTACCATGCCATAGAGTCCACCCTTCAAAGCAGCCATTTTCTCCAGGTTAGCTGATCTCTGTCAGCTGGAGATCAGTTGAAAAAGCGGGAGATCCCCAGGCCCCACCTGGAGGCTGGCAACCCTATTCCCAATTGGGAGGTGGCAATCCTAGATGACCAAGAAGAGCCCTAAGACTCTGAGTCAGGCTGCTGATCCTGGGATGCATCCCTGTGTTCTGATTTAGACTTAGACCTTGAATCCTCCACCCCAGAGCCTGTTGTTGAACCAGAGGTCTCTCCCCAACTGACCCTTCAGGGCTCTCAAACTTCTGAACCGCCTCAGCGCTGTCACAGTACTTTCCACCAGACCTGGTCATGGCACCTTTAAATACTGGTAGCCTACTCCTGCAGGGGAGAGGCCTGTAACTCCATGATACACTGTTGGCTCCAGCTGCAGTAACTTGACACCTGGGCTTCATGGCAGAGTGAGGATTTGCATCCAGGTCTTCAAGATCTTAGCCTGACACTCTAACCATCACATCACACTGGCTTACCATCCCTGTGACCACTTATCCACTCAAACTCTGCCTCTCCTGAAGCTGCTTTTTCTTAGGAAAACTGGGCTTTTATTAAACACAAAGTGCCAAAAACTGAGGCCAAAGAGAGAAAAAGCAATAAACAGGCGCTTTTCCATCAAGTCTCTTCTTCAAGCAAATGTTTAATAACTATACACTAATTTGGGAGATTGTTTTTGGCTGAAAATTTGGGTAAAATGCAACACAGAAGAAAATACATGACATTCTGCCCTCAGGACTAATGCCTGAAGAACTGCTAATTATTTTATATAAATAAGTACCAAACCCCAGGAATGCTGGGGGGGGGGGGACTGGAGGGACAAAATTCATGGGGCCCAAGTCACCTGGAGGGCCCCTAAAACCGCATTATCCTGTATTCAGAATGCATTTTTAATTTTTTTATAGTGCAGTTCTGACTACAGCCACCAGGGGTGCAAGGAAGGCAGAGCCACCCCCCCTATATATATAGGGGGGGTGGGGTGGCAGAGCGCAGCAAAGAGCTCAGCCTTTCTGCAAAGTTCTCCAGGAGGCTGAGGAAAACCAAACCTGTCAGCCAAGCCAGCACTGGATGCAGCATCCTAACAAGGATATTGCAATTCTTTTCATTTTTTGCCCAGGAATTCCCATGATCATCCGCATGTTGGTGGCCAATTTTGAGATTCCCAGTTTTATTGTCTGATGAGTTATGCCTGCCACAAATGGACAGATAGATGGACATGTAGAAGAAGATGACGACATTGGATTTATACCCCGCCCTTCACTTGGAGTCTCAGAGCGGCTTACAAACTCCTTTCCCTTCCCCTCCCCACAACAGACACCCCGTGAAGTGGGTGGGGCTGAGATAACTCTGACACAAACTGCTCTTTTAGGAACAGCTGTGCCAGAGCTTGTGACTGACCCAAGGTCACATCAGCAGGTGCAAGTGGAGGAGTGGGGAATCAAACCCCGTTCTCCCAGATTAGAGTCCGCACACTTAACCACTACACCAAACTGGCTCTCTGTAGATTCTTTTTTTATTACATATGCTTGCTGACAGTCAGCCAAGTATTGTTACAATATTTGGTTTGGATCATAGTTATATGGGGGGGGGGTATGGTGGCTTTCAGCAGCCCTAACTAACACTGACAAGCAAGCATAAGGAACAGGAGCTGAAGGGAAAATGAAGGTGGGCTACTAAAGCTGTGTTATAAAAATGCTACACCCTTGGTTCATACCTAGCCAAGGAAACAGCCTCAAATAAATGTTGAAGAAGTGATCCAAATAAAAATGAAATTCAAACTTTGCATCTGATGAAGGTCATGAGGGGAGCTGTCAATGTTTTCTGCAATCTCATATTCATTACTTTGATGTTTGTTAATTTAATAAATCTGAAGCTTGTGAGTGGCTGCTTGTTGTCACACCGCGAGGGACATGTTGTCTGCTTGCACAAATGAGACTCACACTTGAATTAATTGAATTACTCAAACAAACAGTGAAACTAATTGAGATTGGCAAAGTCAAAGTTCACACAGATGAACCGAATTAAATCAAACTGGAGAAATCTAACTGTTCATGAAAATTAATCTTCTAAATTCTGTCCACGGGAGCTTGGGTAGATGTGGAAGTGGAAGTGCCTCAGCTGTTTCCGCTAAACTCCTCGTATCTTGAATACAGTTTACCATTTGAAGTTTGGGGAAAGCTGTTGATAGTACAGAAAACAACTGCCAATTGTACATTCCATAGTGGTTTGGGCTGGAGCTGAATTCCCAGATTGCAGGGATCAGGGCAATGAGTGCTATGTGCCCAGTGTTCAACTTAAAGGCTGGTGAAGAATTCAGGGTGATCCAGAAAGGTAAGCAAAGCAAAGACAGCACTGCTGATTTAGGCCCACAATCAGACCAAGGTTGCAGTCACACGCGCCAGATAAAATCCGGGGGGGGGGGGGGGGGGGAGGAATTTTACCTGCAGTTGCGCGATCACACAGTCCTTTGGAGCTGCGGGCACAGCCTGCCACTGCATGATCAGACGCAACCGTGAGTGAGTCGGGGTTTTTTTTTTGCCGTTTGTTTCTGATGCGCTTAAACAAGGGATCTATTGTGTAGTGGGTTAGCTGCATGAACGAAGGACAAAGACTGGCATAGTGCATAGCACGCTTTACTGGTACACAACATGAACTAGCTCAAACGGCCGGCAGGCCAACTATATACATCCTGGGGGACACACCCCTGGGTCCCGTTGGTGGGTTTGAATCTCCCACCACGGTGCCCATTGGCTCCCCAGTGGAGGGACTAGGAGCCTAGTCCCCATTGTTCTCCCAGAGTCAAGCTCTGGGGAGTTCGCTGGCCCCTGGTGGCGGTCAGTGGACACAACAGGATCAATTAATCGCACCTGCGCACTGAGGGCTCCTTATGGAGTGTGCGATGATGCGCATACTGCGAAGGGGGGGAACAACAGCACGGAGTCAGGATGGCCTGATCAGACCATCCCAATGCCATGAGAGTGCAGTGGAGTGATCAGACAGGGGAAAGTCCGTCCGTGGCCCGTAGCAACCCGTTTGCTACTGGACTTTCCCTGGTGTCTTTTTACTCCGCTTCTGCGGTGGAGCAAAACAGGTTGCTGATGGGTGCGGGGTGCTTCCCAGATGTTCGTGTCTGATCATGCCCTTTAAATCCGCCCAGCATTCGTGCCTATGTCAGGTCTAATTGTGCATATGATCGCAGCCCAAGTGTGCCTCCCACAACCATCTGCAGGCAATTTTTTTCTAGCATAGTCTAGTGTTATCCCCCCCCCCTTTAAAAGAAAACCTTCAGCAAAGCTGGTACTAAATTCTCTCTCTTCCTGTCCCCACAATAAAGAATCACAAATAGTGGGGATGTGAGTGTGATTATACTTCTGAGTAAGCCATCTCATTATTTGAAGTGGGGTGGACAATGAATTCCTATTTGCACCTATTACTGTACTTGTAACACAACTGTGCATATGCTGAATGATTTAGCAGTCTCCATCCAGGGCCTTCATTTTAGCTGTGTTTGCTGGAGGGCAGAAATCCCTATCTGTGCACTTGTTTATTATTATTATTTTTACAATTATGCACTGGGCTATGTACAGGTGGAACTTCCAAGAGAAGCTTTCTGTGGGGGTAGAGGCTGCAGTAATCTTTGCTCCATTTGTGCTACAGCCTACTACTCTGTTGCAGGCAGGACCTGTGAGCCAAGCCCAACTCACCTGGAGGAACCCCTGACGAAATGGTAGAGGAGGAAACTTGTCCCTGTCCTTTGGAAGTCATAGCTGCGACTTCAATGGTGTAGGTGGTAAGGGCTGTGAGGCCTGTGACACGGTATTCCAGTGTGACATTAGGCAGGTAGTGTGTTACACGTGTGTTCGTGCGATTGTATTCCTCCCAGGAGATCCGGTAGCCTAAAAGAGGACCCAAAACATAGACATGTAGAAAACAGCACAAGTTATACCTGTATCCAGGAGTAAACAAAATGAGCCCAACAAATTTTGTGGCCATAAGCCAAATTTAGGCTATACCAGCTGGCCTTCTAAGATACGAGTTATGTTCCCTCAGTGCACCTGATCTCTTATAATACATCCTTGAAATCTATTTATTGCAAGCAGGTGGGCTCCATGAAGCTTGAGACAAACAAATGTCATGGTTCTGGTTTCCAAACTGCTCCCTTGCTGAAGTGGAATTGAAACCAATATGGCTCCCAGGATGGAAATCCTCCCAGCTTTCTAGCTAAATGACAGCATGATTCTCAATATAAAAATCATGTGTGCAGAAGCCCTAAAGGAGAAGGGCTTCATTAGAAATGTAGGAAAGAAACATTTAAAAAAACCAAAACTTTAGATGATCCCCCCATAAATATAACGGAAGGATTAGGGCTAAAGGTTCCCCTTTGCCTCTCCCACTGGCTTAATGTATCTCTTACCTGTCAGAATGCCATTCTTTTCTAGAGGCTCTTGCCAGCTGACTTTCAGAGATGTGTCCAGGATCTCATTGAAGCTGAGGTGTCCGACTGGACCCGGAACTGGCCAAACAAACAATCCCACCCCCCAGAGAGTTACAACAGAAGAAACATTCCCCTTAATATCTCAAGAAAACAAAAAAGGGAAACTACCAGTTATAGACAATTCCCAAGGAACACACTCTGGGGTTGGATGTAAAGATGACTGCAGAAAACACAGCCAATGGAATCAGGGACCTTCAGAGAGTCCATACCACTTCAGCAACCAAGAATCAACCTCCACAACTGAGAAGGAGACAGACACTTTCTAAGGTGGAAGATGATGTTTAAACTATGTTGGCCGGTGACTCAGAAGTTTGTGAACCCACAGTTCCATGGGCATACACATGACACACACATGAAGCTGCCTTATACTGAATCAGACCATTGTCCTATCATGGTCAGTATTGTCTACTCAGACTGGCAGTGGCTCCCCAAGGTCTCAGGCAGAGGTCTTTTACATCATTTCCCACCTGAACCTTGTAACTAGAGATGGCAGGGATTGAAACTGGGACCCTCTGTCTGCCAAGCAGGCTCTACCACTGAGCCAGAGTCCCTCAGGAACCCGTGAGCTGTGCCTGTGCCCAGCTCCAAAGGGAAGGGCCGTACCGTCCTCATGGGTGCGCACCAGCTGTGGTGGGCTGCGGGGTCCATCGCCTGGTGTGGTGAAACACAGCACTGAAGTATAATACTCTGTGAACTTCTTGAGAGCTGAAATATAACCCACATGGATATTGTCTTGGAAGTTAGGCCGCACCGTTACTATCATCATGTCTTCTTCTTGTCCTGGTTCCCAAGCAGTGAGCTACAGGAGAATGAAGAACATCATGATCCCAGTCAGTTGAAAGCAACTACTTACAAAGGCCAATGAAAGCAAGGCAGTGATCTGGCAGACTAACTTGGGAGCTTCAAAGTGTGCCATAAGAGTTGCTACCAATTGGTCTATTTTAGTTTAGCCATTAGAATTTTTAAAAAATCAGTGTAAAGCAGCTAACAGTTTTTACATTTCATACAGTTAAACACCTTAGCATATGAAAAATGAACTATCAGTGGATCCTTTTCTCCAGTAGGATTGACAAACATAGCATGCTTAGCCCAAAATACTGGAATCAAGGACCCTAATCAGAATTTGTTGGGATCTTAAGACCTGACATCAAGTGCCGAGCCACATTCAAGTTTATGGTTAGAGTCAAACCCTCTTGTAGTCTGAGCACCATCTCAACACGAGGAAGAGAAATTTAACAGGTCAGTCTTATTTCAGTGCAAACCTGCGGCTGAAACAATGGGACACAAAGAAAGAACATCAGCCTTGATTTAAGGACTCTCACGTGGCAGAGAACTGATCCGCCAGCACTTTGTGCAAAAATTGTAAAAGACTTTATGGGAATTAATGAAAGGCCTCTGCTGGATTCTGTCTGAACATAAATAACAACTGATAATAAACAACAAGTTAAGTGAAACTAAATAGCAACCGCTGTGTCAAAATACAATGCAGTAAGGGAACATCAACAAATTAATAGTTTCCCGCAGTATAATAAATGAGTGAGGTCTAGGAAGGTCTGAAAATAGCTCATAATAATATGAATACAATGGGTAGTACTAATTTTTTGCTTTCCTTACTTAAATTTTGAAACTCAAAGTGGTTTACATGGCGTCTGCCAAATGGACTGTGCTCAGGTTCCCACATGCTTAGCCTTAACAGTGCATTAGGTGCTCTCAGACAATCCATTAAGTTCAGGGTGAACCGGCCACTCCTCAGCTCTTTTTCTCTAGCTTCAACAACTGAGTTTGCTTCTCACTTGCCACTTCAGTCTTGGGGTCACTTAGATCAAAGCAGACCTGCCTTTTCCCCTTTCCATGGCTACACATTAACTCTTAAAAGTGTAACCACAGGGTGTGTGAATACGTTCTGTAAACAGTATCCTTTACAGACATATTTCTGACTTTTTTATATAAAGAAAGACAAAGTGCTATTGTGCCCTTTGCTTCTGAATCACCCCCTGCAACCCAGTCATTACCCGCCTAGGCAATCCACTAAGTGAAACTGACCCCCTTATTGTGGTTGCCCAAATTCAGGGATAAAAATCAGCAAGAAATTATAGCCTACAGAGGAAATAAAGAAACAGCATTTATTCTTAGATTATTTTGCATTCTCTAATCTAAATAGCTATTCTTAACACTGCTGTTTAGGGTATAAATGTAAATTCTAGTACATTTATCTGAACAATCATGTCATTGTAGATGCTTTCAATAAATGGTGTACATAATGGCTGTTGGTTTTCATGAGTTGAAACCACGTTAACAATTCTGTTGTCTGGAGTCAAGAGTGCAGCACATCCAAATAATGAGAAGGACTCTAAAGACTGTCAGTCTCTGATCACAGATAGGGTTTTTTGTTTATTTATTAGATTTTTTTTTGTCGCCACTCACCGAAAGGTCTCGTGGCAACTTACAACATTTAAACAACATCATAATAGATATGTTAAAAACCAACAAAGTCAGGTAATATGTATCAAATATTAAAATATGATGATATATAACTCCACACCATTTTGAACAATTGAAGTACTCAAGTCACTTAACCTGTGCGGGGCTTTTGCCACTGTCATTGTGGTGGAATTATTTGGGAGTAATGCTTTGAGAAAACTGCAGTTCCAAACCACAATCTTAAAATGCAACTTGCATGCTTGTTCACTGCCTCCTGTCAAGCTCCTGTGTATAGACTGCCTTCCAATGGGAGTAGGGCCATGGGCATAGGAGGCACAGAGGAGGTGGGGTCCTGCCAAGGGCTTGGTGCAGCTGCAAGGTTTTTTGCCGTGTGACAGTTAATCACACCAGTCATGCTAAGGTGCTAAATGGACATGGTGAGGTCAAGAGCCATGATTACTTATAGAATCCTAGCACAAAAATTGCTTGTAGAATGCAAAGGTATTCTGGGCTGTGGACAAATTGATGGCTTAGAGCGATACGGCGCTGCCACTAATTGTAGTGCTTTGAAGTATTGCGGGGCATACCAACCAGGCAGCACACCCTTCTGCAGGTCATCTGAGCAATCATCCCGTGGGCACACATTACTGCAGTGCCTCAGCCATGGAGCATGCTGTTTGGTTGGTTTTTTAAAATGAAGGCAGGTGCACTGGCAGACACTCCCAAAAAACCAAAATCCCAGTGGTGGAAACGAATCTGCAGGTTGAGACAGCCAATCCATTCTGCGTACACTCCCCTGCATTCAGACATCCAGCCGCACGCAATGAATGTGCGGGAAACTGAAAACACCACGTTGTGTGGTATCTATTTACTCCATTTCCAATTCATCATATGATGGGGTAAGTATGACTGGGGAACAGCTGACAGATGTGGCTGTGTGACCCTGTTGGTTTAATCCATGAGGGGAACGCAGCTATGTCAGGCCAAACTGCCAGTCTGAACGCAACCCATGACTCAACGGTATCCCAGGAAAGAACACAGAGCTGCTCTTGTTGTATTTATAGCTGACCAAAGTCGTCAACATGCAGTTAGTTTCCTTATAAAATCTTATAACTTATCTTGTAACTCTGGAGTCTTTACACAGAAAACAGCACGGTCCTCAGTGTTTCCCCTCAAACCTACTAGATACTTGCATTCCATGCTGGCTGGCAGGTAGCAGATGAATATTAACATATCTGTTAAATCTTTGGCTATATCAATATGCATGTGAGCCAGTTTCTGAGTCTGGCCTCTATCCCCACTGCCCTATTGCTCAAAGGGTTACTTGAGAGCCATATGAGATTTTTAAAAATCCTCTCCTCTGGCTTTTGGCTCCTCTGATCTGTCTTTCCTTTATCTATGGCTCTTCAAAGACATGTGGAAAGAAACTTGCTGGGATTAAAGGCTGGCAATTGTTGCTGTGAAGGAGAGGTGTGTGCCGAAGGGGCAAGGGATCAGTCATGAGTCGACTGCTATTTCTCTCCTCAGAGATCTGCCTGGGACTGGATTTGTAAGACTGGCACAGAGGGAATGCAATTAAAAGAAGTCTGTTTAAAAGCAGTTTGATCTTTGCCCAGACATTTTCTCATTTGGGTACCTGAAAAACAGGAGCATCTGTCTCCTATATAGCCCGCTCTCTGAGGAAATGTAAAATAGTCCTCAATTTTCACATATAGTTGGGTCCTAAGGCTTGGGGTAGTGGTAGAGTCTAGCCATTTGGGGCCCAGAAAAGAAGCTGAAATAAGATAATTTAAAAATGCCCTCTGCATTAGAGTAAACAGAGAACACAAATAGTGCCTTGATACCAGCCCAGGAGCTGCGGTGGTTAAGACGCTGAACTGCAGGCTGTGGAAGGTCAGTAGTTCAGCAGTTTGAGACCCGGGTGCCGCAAGACAGAGTGAGCCCCCGTCTCTAGTTCCAGCTCCTGCCAACTTAGCAGTTCGAAAGCAAGAAATTGCAAGTAGATAAATAGGGACCGCTTTGGTGGGAAGGTAACAGCGTTCCATGCGCCTTGGTGTTTAGTCATGCCGGCCACATGACCACGGAAATGTCTTCGGACAGCGCTGGATCTTCGGCTTTGAAACGGAGATGAGCACCGCAACCCTAGAGTCGGATTCGACTGGCTTTCGAGCAAGGAGACCTTTACCTTTTTACCAGCCCAGCATGGTATAGCCCAAAGCTTCACATATGTTTGTGGAGGCTGAGAAACCCCATTTCATGGGCCAGGTGCAGTTTAGGGCCCAAGAAGTAGCCAGCAGCTGAGGCAATATGGGGATAAAGTATTGGCTGTCTTTGTGGGGTTTGGGATGGGTAACAGTGGCTCATTTAGGGCAGTATCACAGCCACTCACTCCAGCCTGCGCTCTGCCTTCCTTTTCCAGGAGAATGTAGCCCCTTGATAAAGCTCAGAGCGACTCATCTGCTCCGGTGATGCTTGTAAGGCATCCTTGACAATGTTCTAGATTATGAAATGGTACATTCACTCTGGATACAGGAGACACGATTCCCAATCTCTCTGCTGCTTGTTATTTTCCATCCTCCATTGCTCTGTCTATGAAATAAGAATTAGAGCAGCCTCCCTCTCAGATTAACAGCATGCCATGCTGAAATGGTAACCGACACAGGTTGCATAAAAGGTTAACAGTGGCAAGAATAGTAATGGGTAATGGAAAACGATTCGAGTCCCGTAGCACCTTAGAGACCAACAAGACTGTAGGGGGTATAAGCTTTTGGGAGTCACAGCTCCCTTCGTCAGAACAGTAATAATAATAAAAAAGAAATCTGACCAGTGTTTAGGTACCCCACTGGCGATAAAATTGTTTCACTCAGTTCCTCTCTTTTATTTGGTGTTATTTAAATATCAATGAATAGCAAAAAGGAATAGTTGAGTATTAATAAGTGTGCAGACGTATCCATCCAAAACAACATTCAACACAATCTGCCTGATTAACTGACACTGATAACAATGCATAATCAGCTACTTTGTCATGGTGTTACACTCAAGGATGTTTGGGTCTTTAATTGGCATAGTGCGAGATAGCCTATAGCAAGTTAATTAGATACTAATTAGGCCTCCAAAAATACTAATCAAAAATACTAAGTGGTATTTAATAAGTATGTTAAGTATCCTTCTTAACGTTGGTTATCTTGTTTGGCAGCAATTAAATTTCCGAACTTCTTTGGAGCAGATTAAGAAACAAGTTTTAATGTTTTAATTCAATTTAATTAATGGAAATTTGAATTAATCACAATTTGGAATTGAACACACAAGGCAAAGCTCCCAAATAAATGTTATATCTTAGTAAAAAATATTTTAATAGACAAATTTGGAACAATGAGAATAACTTTTAAAATAATTAAGTCTTTTTGAAAAAAGAGGCCAATTATAGAATAACAGTGAGTTGTTAAGAAGGTCATCTGAATCATAAAGGATGGAAATGTGAAACTGGGGGCTTCAATACCATAGAATTTATTCTATGTAGCAGATGATGAAGTTAGAGATAGAGATACTTCATCAAGAAAAACAGTGGATTAAACTCTTTTACCTTTCTGATTAAACTTGGAATAAGGCCCATTGTGGAAATAAATACAATGAGCACTAGAAAGAGGCTCTGGGAGAGTGCCAAGACCATGGGCACTCAGCATCAATTTGCCATGGCAACCTCAGCAGGGTATAAGGACACAGAGTCCTCAAACCTCACCCTCTCCAGGCTCCATCTCTCAAATCTCCAGGACTTTCCCATCTGGAGTTGGCAACCCTATCTACTTCCCAGCCAAACATCAACCTACCTTCATTACCCCCTCATTGTTCAGTTTCTCATCTCCCCCCCCACACACCTGCAGCCTCTACCATGCTCTGAAGCTCTGAATGCCACGTCACATTGGCTGTCCTGGGGGGGGGCATCTCAGCAGGGTATAAGGACACAGAGTCCACCATTTTCTCCAGGGGAATGGATCAATGCCATCTGGAGACCATTTGTAATTCTGAGTGATCTCCACCCCTCAGCTGGATTTTGGCAACAGTGGATCCCCATGAGGGAATGGCTGGTTTGGAGGGCACAGTCTATGGCATTGTACCTGTCTGAGGCCCCACTCCTCCTCAAACCTCACCCTTTCCAGGCTCCATCCCTCAAATCTCCAGGAATTTTCCACCTGGAGCTGGCAACCCTATCTCCTTCCCAGCCAAGCATAAACCTACCTTCATTTCCCCCTCACTG